AATCTTAATAGTGAAGCTCATGACCTGCACTGATACTTAAAATTTATTATGGTTATTAGAGACATTTTTTTTTTTTTGTGAGGAAGATTAGCCCTGAGCTAACATCTGTCACCAATCCTCCTCTTTTTGCTGAGGAAGATTTGCCCTGGGCTAACATCCATGCCCATCATCCTCCACTTTATATGGGACGCTGCCACAGCATGGCTTGACAAGTGGTGTGTCGGTGCGCACCCGGGATCCGAACCTGCGAACCCAGGGCCGCTGAAGCGGAGCACATGCACTTAACCACTGTGCCACTGGGCCGGCCCCTACAGCTGTTGTTATTTTATGATTTTTCCCCTTTTCCCATTCATCCTTTCTTTCTTAGGGAAAGACGTTAACACAAAAGTGGAACAAAAAAATAATGGGTAACAAAACCACAGCATAAGGAAAAGAGGAACCAATATGGGATCTGCCAATAAAAACATTCCTTCTCTTCAGGACTAGCTATCGAACTCAAATGTTTCTATTGAATCACTGGCAGGCTACCAAGCGAACAGTTTCCTATCTCCCCAAACTCATGGCCACCATTTATCTGTAACAGACACTCAAAATCATAGTCACAAATGATAGGGATAGAAAAGAACTGTTAGATTATTCCTCTTGGTGTGACTAGATCAGAATTATTCCAGAAAACTAGACTAGTCTAGTGCTTTGCTGAAAAATTTTCTATACAAATAGTCCCATTTCCTTTTCCTCAGGGAAGACTTTTCTTATTCTAGATTCCAAGTCACATATATGCATGTTTTGGTCTCTTTTGCACATTGCATTCCCCTCATATTTCTTCTACATTTCAAGTTCTCTGGTTATAATGAACAAGCCCTTTTACTTGTACAATTGTCAATAATTAAACAACGTAAACATTTAAAATATGGTAGGTCCTGCCATGATTACAGAATGTAGAATCTAGTTGTCATTCCCAACAGCCACATCTAGAATACTGCCTTTCTCCTTTTAAAGTTTGCTTAAATAATTATCTGTTTTCCCACAAATCATCACCAGAAAATAACTTATACCAAGCGAATAATACCCACTATTTTTTTTATTTTTATTTTTATTTTATTTATTTACTTATTTTTTCCCCCAAAGCCCCAGTAGATAGTTGTATGTCATAGCTGCACATCCTTCTACTTGCTGTATGTGGGACGCGGCCTCAGCATGGCCGGAGAAGCAGCGCGTCGGTGCGTGCCCAGGATCCGAACCCGGGCCGCCAGCAGCAGAGTGCGCGCACTTAACCGCTAAGCCACGGGGCCGGCCCTAATACCCACTATTAAGTGCTTAGTGTGCCAGGCACTGTTCTCAATTCTATATATTAATAATTTCTTATTTTATTGTCAGGAAAGCTCTGTGAAGGAGAAACAATTATTATTGCCATTTTAAAACTGAGGAGACTGAGGGGCCGGCCAGGTGGTGTAGTGGTTGAGTTCGTGCCCTCTGCTTTGGCGGCCTGGCGTTCGCAGGTTCGGATCCCAGGTGCGGACCTACACACTGCTCATTAAGCCATGCTGTGGCGGTGTCCCACACACAGAGTAGAGGAAGACTGGCAGAGATGGTAGCTCAGGGACAATCTTCCTCAAGCAAAAAGAGGAAGACTGGCAACAGATGTAAGCTCAGGGCCAATCTTCCTTACAAAAAAAAAAAAAACACCAACAAGAGACTGAGGCATAGAGAGGTTAAATAACTTGCTGAAGTCACAGAGCTAATAAGTGGTGGGAGTCAAAATTCAGATTCAGGCTCTTTTATTCCAGGAAGTATGTTCTTACTAGCTGCTATTAGTAATTAGAGGCAGATATCACGCAGAACTACTTGGAGAGAGTAAACTCCTTACAAATTGACAACAGAATGAAGTAAATTCTGAGCAAAGGTGTAGAAACTGAGATAACCCCAACCAAGGACAGATGATTAACAGAACTTGTTCCACATTAGGGAGAGAAGGAGGCCAGAATACAGTAAAAGAAAGTCTATTCCCTTGGTCAGCTACATAGTGAAAAGGAATCGAAAGTTCATTGTATCAGAACCCACAATATGTCATACACAGTGTTTTCTGTATAATTATACTTATGTTACTGTATAGTTTTCAACTGAGGTTTTATGAATCATTACTTTATATTTGTATGCCAAATTTTTAAAATCTATGTTTTTAAAAATACATAGGGGTTTCAATTCACTGTTCTAGATGGAAAGAACAGAATAACTGTTGTTCCCCACTTGGTAGAACCATATAGCTTGGTCTACAGGGCAGTGCAATCAGAGAACATCTGTGAAGAACCACTACTCTCTCAACAGAATATCTGGATAGAGGATTAGGCCTAAAGGGCTGAGATAACTTATTAAAAAGAAGACATTAAAAAACCATTTACTAAGATATGAAAAAGAAAGACACAACAAGGGAAAATTTAAGTGAAAATTAAAGCAAGGACTACTTTAAAAACTTTAAGTTGGTAAATCTGCATGACACTAAACTTGTGGAAAATCTAAGAACATCACCATGCCACCATAATATATCCTAAGCAATTGAAGAAGGTGATTTAAGAGGTCATCTGTCAGAGCCAAGTTTTAACATTTTATTTCTAGAACTTTTATTTAATGTTTGTTTATTAAATTTCTATACCACTTATAAATTTCTCTATATACTTTAATTACTTATCCCATGCCTGATTGTGTGAGTGCTTATCTTGCCAACAACAGTTTTTCTAATCATAGTATTTTTCAGAAATGTAATCTCCAACCTGGGTTGGCAAGGGAAATTCATAATAGAGTTTAGTACTGTGGTACCAAAAAAACAACAAAAAAAAAATCACACACAACTCCTTTTTCATGGTTTGAAGTCAAGCATTCTTTTAAAAATTCTTTCATATTTTTTCAAAGTCCTAATAATAAAGGAAAATTTGTATACAAATACACCACTATTTTGCTTTAAATAGATATTTGAACTGAATGGGAAATACCTGACAAAGTCAAGATATTGGTACACAGAGAAAACAAAACAAAATTTATACACTGCTTCTTCAGCAAGGCCTGTTTCTGCTTAGAAACATCACACATGATACCTTGTTTACTCAAACATTATATACATCCTTCCTCCATTTTCTTAATTACTTTGGGCCCTTAATTTTCTTGTCGAGTCTATATTTTACCATGTTCTAGGAATGGTTCCCAGACCTCTTTAAATTAAATGATTTTATCCTTTATCGCCCAAGAGTTACATCTGTTACTCCATCTCCAAAATATTAACCTTTGAATTTTACCACCAGTGATTAAAAATTTGTCTTACACCTCCTTTACTAATTTGCTCCTAGGAAGCATATTTGCAAACTTTTTTTTCTCATGATGACACTCAGAACCCCAACCTAACCTCTCCCTACTCTCCCAGCATATCAATCTATTTCTGGCTTTAAGCAGATCATCTGTAATGCTTTTCTCAAAGGTTAGAATATCTTAACCTTGCACTGTGGCCTAATAATCCATAAGCACAGATGATACCCCAACATTTGCTTCCTTGACTCTTGGGTTGCTGTCATGAAATCACAATAATCCTGTCCCATGAAAATTCACACTAATGTATCGTGGCAAGATCCTCTGCTGTTCTATAATTCTGGTATTGAACATTCATTGATAGTTCAAAGTAGCAGAAAAGAAGAGGTGATGTTAGGGGCCAACTGGGTGGCGCAAGTGGTTAAGTGCATGCGCTCTGCTGCGGCAGCCCGGGGTTCGCCGGTTCAGATCCTGGATGCGCACCGACGCACCGCTTGGCAAGCCATGCTGTGGCAGCGTCCCGTATAAAGTGGAGGAAGATGGGCACGGATGTTAGCCCAGGGCCAGTCTTCCTCAGCAAAAAAAAGAAAGAAAGAAAGAAAGAAAAAAAGAGGAGGACTGGCAGATGTTAGCACAGGGCTGATCTTCCTCACACAAAAAAAAGAAGAGGTGATGTTAGCTTAAAGCACTAGCTGAGCTGAGAAAAGTTTGTTTACTTTAGGTCAGAGACACTGTGTACTTATGCAGAAGAAGAAGGAACTAATAGAAAGTGAACAAGATTACGTGAGAGAAAATTGACAGAGGAAGATTGCAGAGGAGGGGACCAGTGCTTAAAATCTGTAATAGAGCTAAGAAGCTAGCCTTATGAAGGAGAAAGAATATCTCCTCTGAGACAGAAGGGAAGACAACAAAAATACAGATAAATGTTGAGGTAAAGAAGGTAACTGACGGATCCCAGGATAGACTTGGTTTCAGTAAAACGGTATAGGACAATTAGGTAGAGGTGAGGGTTGAGAATAGTAAAGGAGACAGTAGTACTGGACCTTCAGAAGGACGTATTTGTTCTAAAGAGAAGTAAACCAGAACTTTTCAAAGTCACAGAGAAGAAAAAGAAGCATCCATTATGTACTAGCAGATGTATACATGCTCCACAATAGATCATCTCAAGAAGCCACAAGATGTGGGGGAAGTATAAAAATGATGTACAGCAAGGTTTTGCTAAAAGTGACAATTTTGTAAAAATTGACTGGAGAGTGCAGCAAAATTTTAACTGTTAAATATGGGTATAGGTATATGAAGGCATTCATTATATTATTCTCTCTACTTTTGTGTACCTTTGGAAATGTTTGCAATAAAAAATGTTTTAAAAAATTGTCTAGCCATCATATGATCTCAAGACCAACAGTCATCTTCCTCAGTAAACTCAATAATTTGCCTAAAGAAGATTTTAGAAATTTCAGACATGTAACTGGATACAGATACATATACTCTAAAGGACTTTAAAAGTTAATGAAGAGGAGGCAAAATAATTCTATTTGACCAGGATTTGTTCCAAATTTGTTCTATGGATTGAGAAACACAAGTTGGCATTAAAATTACGCTAAGGGTGTCAGGGTATTGTAATAAATAGTGCTAGAAGATGAAGGTAATGAGGAAAAGTATTCATACTAAGCGCATGCCTGAAGAATAAGATTCTAAACACTTACTTCATCTCCAGAACTTCCTCTAAGTGTTTCCTTCTCTCTGCCCGAAGATTGGTCAAATGAGTTTCCTTTTCTGCTAGAGACTGTTGAGTAGAGGACAGCTTTGCTTTCATGGACTCTAGTTCCTGCTTTACTTTCTCCATAGCCATCAGTAACTCCTCCACCTGTGATAAATATGGAAAATAAAAAACTGAACATTTTGATCAATTAAAGTCAGAGGAGCTGGATAATGAGCAATTCTGGGTCCAGAAAAACGAAGACACACACACGTCAAAAATTCTGTACTCTTTCTGGATCAGACATATATCTCAAGAAGATAGAGCAGATAAAGAAATAACTCTCTGATCATCCCTCCACTATAATCCTTCTCAGTGTAGGTCGAAAGAACTTCATTTTCTTTTTGGTAAATGCAAGGCATGTAAGTTAGCAGTTCAAGAAGTCACAGTCTGCCACAGACAATCTCTTTTAAGGAATTTATTTAGAAATTGCCCATAAATTTCCATGAAATAATATAATGCAGATAAAAATATAAGGAACAAATCATAATGAATATTTTTAGAAGGATTTTAGGAAATGAAAGACAAACTTGACTAATAACAGATTCAGTTTAAACATAAATGAGTCATTTTTATTCATCCAAACTAAGATTTTTCTGTTTACAGAATCAAAAAGACTTTCTTTCTTCTTCTTTTTTTTTTTTTGTGAGGAAGATTAGCCCTGAGCTAACATCCATGCCAATCCTCCTCTTTTTGCTGAGCAAGACTGGCCCTGGGCTAACATCTGTGCCCATCTTCCTCTACTTTATATGGGATGCCGCCACAGCACGGCTTGACAAGTGGTGCATTGGTGCACGCCCGGGATCTGAACCTGTGAAACGAAGGCTGCCGAAGCGGAGCGCGCACACTTAACCACTACACCACCAGGCCGGCTCCCCCAAAAAGACTTTCTTTTTAAAGAAATTGCTAGAATTCAATCAGATAATTTCTTGCTCTAAAGCCAGGTAGGTAGAGTTTTTTCAAAGAAGGCAGGAAGAAAAGAAAAGAAAAATATATGACCAGATAGAGAGGAGACAGAATACCTTTAAAAGACCTAAAAAAAAGACCCAAGAGAAAGAAGATAGAATGCTAAAACACAAGAAACTAAGACAGCAAGGTTTGTACTTCATCAGTTATTTCCACTTACTCTGGGTGGTTCCCAAATCAGAATTATTTAAATAAACATGTTCAACTTAATTCAGAAGCAAAAAATATGCTGACAGAACTATCTGTTATTAACAAAAAGCAACCTCAACCAGGCAACTGCACCAATCACAATAGTTTATGTCAGGTTGCTACCTGCCAAGAAATAATTTTGGTGACAATCCTTTTCAGAGGTAGAGGTGAGTGTAGGGAGAGACAGGGGATCTGCCATTCACTAACTCCTACATAAAACCAATTTGTGTGATATGAAAACAGAGCAGTCTGGAGACAAAACTATAGTATAACAAATCAGAGTTGAAACAGACCCCTGGATATTAGCGCCTCATACCTAACCAAAGTCTCCATGTTGATTGCTAACAGCCGCTAAACATTGCTGGTAAACAGATACATTTAGTTTTTTCTGCACCTGAATAAGTTTACTTTGTGTATCTTTTCAGAAGTGATCAAGTTAATGTTCTCAGCTAATAGCATCCTGACAGTCCCAGTTGCTGTGAGAATATATATTACTATGCAGATCTCCTCGGATATGTATTCACATATCTGCAAGTTTTACATGGACATATATCACTATCTGACCTTTTGAAAACTGTCTATAAGAATGATTCCATTTTATCAGTTTAATTCACATAAAATCTTATCTAAAAATGGATTGAAATGATACACCAACGTATGTTAACACAGAATCAGCAATCTACACCACTATTTACAGAAGCTCTACTAAACAAAGTGTGGGATGTGTCTATCCATCATGAACTTAACTTAAACATATCTCAAAAAAATCCCCCTCCTATCCTGTCTTTAACTTCTCCAGCTTGGAGAGATATCTTATACATACACAAGCATGTACAAATAACTTATTCCTCCTTTTTCTACACAAAAGGAAGCCCACTCTATAAATAGTCTTATGCATCTGAAATTTTCAGTCAACTTTTCATTGAAATACAACATAAATACAGAAAAATACACAAACAATAAATGTACAACATGAAGAATTTTCTAAGTGAACACACCTATGTAATCAGCACATGGACCAATAAACAGAACGTTACTAGTACCCCAGAAATCCCCCTCATATCCCCTTTCCAGTTAGAGAGTAACCATTATTCTAATACTCTCAATTAGTTTTGCCTATTTAACTTCCTACAAATGGAATTACATAGTATATAATTTTAAGTATAGATTTTTTTCCACTCAGTGAGATTAATCCATATTGTTGGGTAAAATTATAGTTCTATAATTCTCATAACTGTATGATATTCCACGGTGAGAAAATAGCAAAATTTACTAAAGGCATTTGTGATAAATAGAAATCTTTTAATTTAATGGAGTTTAATTTTTTCCTTTATATTTCTTTTACGTTCAGAGCTTTTTGTACACCGAATAAGAAAATTTTGCCTATCTCAAGGTCATGAGGATATTGTTCTATTCTTTCTTCTAAATCCTTTATTGGATTACATGTTTCACATTTAGATCTACAACATATATGCGAGTGATTTTTGAATATGGTGTAATAGGTCAACATTCATTTTTCTCAATATGGATATCCAAATGACTCAGCACTATAAACAGGAGAACTTCAGTCATGGTGGGAAGGTACTTTGGGCCTACTTGGCAAAAGATCAGAAATTATTTAAAGACTACTTATAAACTGTAGGAAAAATAATTTAACAATGCTTTATATTGCACATAACCAACTTTAAATTTCATAAATAAGCAATGTGAAATATTATATGCATATTTTAGAAAAGCAATATGTCCATATCCTAGAACCAAGGGCAAAACACATATCTATATACACACCCCCTAGGAGCTTTGTAAGTGCAATTATCCAACTGTATCCCTTAAATCCCCTGTGATAGATAATCACCATTCTTATTTAGTGTTCCTTATTCCTTTGCATTTCTTTATTTTTACCTCTGATGATATATTCCAAAATAAAGCACTGTTTAGTTTGATCAGTTTATGAACATTGTATAAATGGAATCTTTTGACTTGATTTCATCCAACATTATGTTTTTTCATGCATATAAAAAAAGGGCCCACCATATGTGTATATTCCAGAACGAAGAGCAAAACATACACCTATATATTCACCACTCAGGAGTTAAAATCAATGACAGCCAACAGCACTGAGCACCACAACATCGAGATTATGGCTTCCCGCTAAATTGAATGGGCTCCTTGGAAAAATGGCTGATTCCAGATTTGGGGCAAGATATGTACAAAAAAAGAACTTTGTACATCGTATGCTAGAAAGCAAGAGAAATAGGGATCATGACACAGAAACCCTGATAACAAAACCAGAAAAACACAGCACAAGAAAGAAAGAAAATTATAGAGAAATATCCTTAAGAATACAGATGCGAAAAATACTAGAAAACCAAACCCAGCAACGTTATAAAAATTGGGATTTATCCCAAGAATGCAAGGTTGACTTAACATATAAAATCAATATAATAAACCATATTACTAGAATACAGGCCAAAACCCTGATGATTACCTCAATAGATATAGAAAAGCATTTGACAATTTCCAACACCCTTTCATGATAAAAACACTCAACAAACTAGGAATAGAAGAGAACTTCCTCAACCTGATAAAGGGCATCTATGAAAAACTCACAGCTAACATAATTTTTAACAATGAAAGACTGAATGCTTTCCCTCTAAGACCAGGACCAAGAATAAGACCAGGATGTCTGTTCTCACCACTTCTATCATAGAGATGATAGCCAGGAAAATTAGGCCACACAAAAAATTTAAAAGCATTCACATTGGAAAGTAAGACATAAAACTGTCTTCATGTCTCTTGAAGATGACATGATCTTATAGAGGAAAAAACATAAGGTATCTACCAAAAATATTATAATAAACACGTATATGAAGGTTGCAAGATACAAGATCAACATACAAAAATCAATTGTATATCCATACACAATCAGTGAAAATGAACTGATTTTCCGAAAATGAAATTAAGAAAACAATTCCATTTAAAATAGCATCAAAAAGAAGAAAGTACCTAGGTATAAATTTAACAAAAGAAATGCAAGACATGTATACTGAAAATTACAAAAAATTGTTGAAAGAAATAAAAGAAAATTTAAATAAATAGAAAGCCATCATGTTCACAGATAGAAAGACAATACAGCTAAGATGGCAATATTTCCCAAATTGATCTACAGGTTCAATGTAATCTTTATAATTCTTTTTTTGCAGAAATTAACAAGCTGATCCTAAAATTAATATGAAAATTAAAGGGAGCCAGAATAAGAAAAGTAATCTTGAAAAAGAAAAATAAGGTTGGAGGACTCATACTTCTTGACTTCAAAACTTACTACAAAGCTTCTGGGTGGCATAAGGATGGACAGAGAGATCAATGGAAAAGAAGTGAGAGTCCAGAAATAAACCCTAACTTTTATGGTCAATTGATTTTTGACAAGAGTGTCAAGGCAATTCAATGAACAAAGAATAGTCTTTTGAATGAAAGGTGCTTGGACAACTGCCCAAGGCTCTACATTTTAAATTTCCCATGCTGTTGACTTCTTGACAAATACAGGTCACTTGTCCTATACAATGTCCTACATTTTGGATTCAGTTGACTTTTTTTTTTATGGTGCTACTTATGGTATTCCTCTTATCTTCATGTTTCCTGTAAACTGAAAGTTTTATCTGAAGGTTTCATTAGATTTAGGTTTGATTTTTTTGTCTTTTTGACAATAGTACTCCATAGGTAAGGTCGTGTACTTCATGTTAGATCACATGAAGAGACATATAATGGCTGTCTCTTTCACTTACACTGATCAGTGGGTTCAGACAGCAATTGCCTGATTTCTTCCTTATAAATTTCTCAATAAATTTTTTACCAAATTCTTTTATTATTTCAATAATAAATCAATGAGGTTAAACATGTTTCATTTGTTTAGGGACCATTTGTGCTGCTTCTTCCTTGAAACTCTCAGACGAATC